ACCTGGGAAAAACACCTTGCAGTGAAGGAAGGTTTGTAGCAGGAAGTAATAGCTTTTATTTAATTAGCAGCCCAGTTCCCAGTGGGAGAACATTTTTCACAAAAGAACTTTGACCTTTCAGCCCACAACCTCAAAGAGACCACAAAATACCTTCAACAGCTCAGCCTGGGAACAAAAATTCAGAACTGCTGTATGCAGTAGAAATCAGACTCAATAAAATACTGGCTTTACGGCACATCGCAGCCTTCCACTGCAGCTGACCTCCAACTCGTTTATCAGTGTTCCGTAGCTGATAATGTGTTCTCTTATTTTAGCTCAGAGGAATTCTTAACATTTTATCTGCCCCTTTGGTCGTCGGGCAGTCACTTTTTTTCCCCATATTGTCTCATTACCACATTATGTTAAAATTAAGAGCTTGTCCCAGTCTGTACTTAGCTTGGAGTTTGCCGATTCTATTCAGACCAACAGAAGGACCTGCATGCTTGAAATCTTGTTTCTTCCAACTGAATCAATTGCCTAGTATTAATTTCCTGTTATTAATTTTATCTTCCAACCATCCTACAGTGTGCCAATACTCTACAGCAGGCTCCCAATGTATTTCTAGAAGAAGCTTAAGTAATGACTGGATGGTAGGCAAATATGCCGCCATATGGCAATACAAATTTGATAATGGCAAGCTGCTCAATCTAGTAGGAAAAGGTATTAAAAAAGGCAACAGTGAAAAGCAAAAAGTTATCCAAATTCAGAAGAGAAAAACAGCTTCACTATGTTAGCAGTGACGGCAAGTTGACTGTGGAGAGCCATAAGAAAAGGAAGTGAGATTGCATTACGTGCATTATGTTCCTGGAACATCTTCCCATATGACAAGTGGGACAAGGAAATGGTAGACAGCGAATAAATCAATTTAGGTGGGACATATAAAGGAAGTTTGGATATTTCATACCACAAATCCTTCCGGGAGGAAATGAGGAGTGCTGCGTGGTGGTGATCTCCCTGTGAGTGAAACCTCTTTTTGATCTGAATTGATCAGTCATTTTAGGCAGTTGTTTTAGAGTAGTAATGGAGGGCTCAAACTAACACAGTGAAGTGCAGAGAGTGTAAGACTTTCTCTTTCTCTTGATTGCTACTTATTATCTTCTACACTCCCCTGAAAATGCAGAAACCACCAGCTGTCAACAAGATGTACTTAATGTGGACAAGGGGAACAGTCCTTCATAAAGAACATAGGCATTGACCCATATTACAGGCAGATGGAATATCAGACATTCGCCGGCTCCACAGTTTTAGCATACTAACTACATAACTACTTTGTTTCAATTAGAAGTTCTTATTAACCTAACAAGTAAGAATGATTAATTTTGTTCACATCCTATGTTATGTAGAAACAATGACAAAAATATAGGCACCTAATTTTGACCTCAAATACATTATGCAAGTGTAATAAGTATTTAATTGCAAAATTATATAAACTCCTAAGTTTGTGATTTCGTCAAACTTGTCTCATTTGCAAGGAGACAAGTCAAAGTGGTTTAGGAGCTTTTTTGAAAAGTTACAGGACATATCACACATGGAGTGATACACAGAATGATTCCTGTCAGTAGAGACTTTGGACTACATAGCCAGCTCCAAAGCTCTTGGGACAAAACTTACGCAGATACGAGTACAAGCAGTAAATGGCAGAGACAACTCACAGCTCTGGTACATCTGAATCTACTGACCTTTCTAGGTGTTTTAAAACTTACTTTGTTTAACTGCCAGAAATACTTCAAAATGTTACGAATTTTTATAGTATTATACACTATGATTACAGTATTAAGAGTAAACAGGGTTATACTATTTGTTCTTTCACCTAATCTACATAAATTTTCCTAGCCATCTTGCTCCGAAACAGTGCCCTAGTTTTCTGGAAAGTTTTAATTATCTCCCCATTTTCAAAATGTATTCCTCTTTAGAAATATTCATGATAATTTTTACACAAATGAACATTTCAGCTTTGAAGTAACTGAAAACTAAGCAGCTACTTCACTATGAAATCAGTTGCTGAGAAATTTTATGTTCACCACATATCATTAAAGGAGAGGTTTAGAAATTATATTTTTTCTGCACAGAAATGAATAGTTTCAAAGCATTAGAGTCTTACACTATATTAGGACTCATTCTTCAAGCACCTGTGTTAATGATTCATGCCATGGAAATCTTCATCCTTGCCTCCCTGACCTTCTTCACAGAAGAAGAATTTCAAAGTGTGGATGCTTTTCTTCAGGTAACAGTTTTGGCCTGTATGCTAACTCTCCTCTCTCTCAGAATATTTCTCTTTTTCATGGTTTGTGTTATTATACATTTTTCCCAAGCTTATACTATTTTCATAAACAAAAGCATATTGTAGAGAAGTACAGAGGAGATATTCTTCCTTCTGAAGAGCTATTATCCTTAACAGCCTCTTTTTAATTAGCTTTTACATTTTTTTGCTTTCTTTAATCTTTCTCAGAAAAAAACCACATTGTTATAGAACAGCATGTTCATGAATGTCCTCAGTAATCTTTTTTCCAATAATAGGTAACGCATGGAAATGATGTCGTTGTTCACTAAGATTATAGGCTAGCCGAGGTTCCAGGTATTATTACTCAATGAGGAGTACTGCAAGATCAAAATGTCAGATTCTTTTGCCTGCAGGTTGAAAACTGTTTACTTTAGCGATGCTTTTGAACTTTACAGAAACTTAATGGAACTTACATCCCGAACCCACGCCGGCGCTTTTGAAAACACCTTCTGTGATTGTTAATGGAACTTAACCATATTAATTTTTCAATGTAACTACAATCTTTTCTTAATAAGCAATCCAAGCAGGCAGAAGCAGCACCCAGCCTACTTAAACACAGGGAAGTTGAATTCTGTCCATAGATCTTCCATTGATTCGCTCAGTGACTTAGAATGGTTACTAAAGCCTGGCGTTTTAAAAGCCAGCAGCTAAACTAATGCACTAAAAAACACTTCAAGGAAAGATTTACATTGACTGTAGGAGGCTCTGAATCAGTCTGCAAATGGCTGATTAGCAAAATGTGCTGAATACTTGGACTAATTGCTTAAGTCAACAACAGATGGAGGAGTTGGCATCCGTGGACGTTAAGGCCACTCCTTCATATATCCAACTTTAGACGTCTAAGTATGAACATCTGAGCTCAAGCTTTGCGTCCCAGCTTTTCAATCGGTAAAATAAGTCCTAAGGAAACCCCATTCTCATGTGTTAGAGTGAAAATGCTACTTAATTATTCATACATCAGCTGTGGCACAGACATCCACACACACAAACAACCGCCCAACATGCCCTTTCAGCAAGTCTGCTCCCCTGGCAGTCCCAGCCCCCCCCTTCCTGCTCCGCTTCCGCCTCTCCACACCCAGCTTCCAGCACTGGGCTCCCTTCCTGATCAGCAACCGCCTTCATTCCCAAACCTGCCCCTTCCCGCCTACCCAAAATCCCAGCCTCCTTACCCAGCCATCTTGCACTATATTGCTGTTCAGTCTTCTCCCCAAGTATCTCCTAGCCTCCCAATGGCCAAGTGTCCAGTTCCAGACGTGGGAACAGGAGGGCCATCCCAATGAGAAAAAGATCACCAGAATTTTCAGTATCAGAAAACAATTTACTTCATTTTTGGAAAGAGCAGAATTACTTGGGGAGACATTTTCCTTCTCTCTCATATGCATGTGGACACACACAAATACACAAAAGTCCTGTGAAAGAAAATAATGTTTTGTCCCAGTGAATTCAAATGATACTAGAAAGATTATTTCTGGAAAAGACATTAATAACTGAAATCATTCAAGACATTTGGGATGACAGGGAAGGGGAGCTGGCCCTGGAAGCTCAGACAGTGCAGGGACTACCTGGGAAAGGGAAATGTTACATGAGATAAATAGGTGCACTGCCAGTTCTGCCTGTGAGGTAGAGAAACATATGCAAAATCATCAGAAAAACAGGTAGCTCCACTGTTTGAATATCAGAAAGTAGCAAATGAAGTAATATTTACCAAGAACATGATTAATGCTCCAGTGATAATTTGGAAATAAACACCCAGCAGGAGCATTTAGAAGTGCAAATCGAGGACATACATATCACTAAGATATTCTGCGTCTATCAGCATTTTCTTCATTTCAGTTCTAGTTGCATCAAAATCTATTTAATATTAATGAAATATTTAAAGTTAGGTTTTTCTTGTGTGCTACAGTACAACAAAACAACTTAGCTTGCTAGTGCTACATTTTTCTTTGAAGAGACTGATGTTATTTGGTGCCAGCTAATAAGAGTATTTGTACAGTACAAATAACAAGGTAGGTATTATGTTGCTGTAACGCGTAAGTAAAGAATCAATTTCTGACTATTTTCCACATAGACCATTTGCCAAATGCAATCAACCTTCCTTCCTCTTCAAAGTACTGCTTTGTATTACCAGAGATGGATGAAAGTAGCCTTTTCCCTCACTCAAACCACTCTCATTACCACAGTGTTCAAGCGTAGTGCAAAGCAAATTCAGTCATACAGCCAGCCTCATGTTGAAATAAATCCCATTGGATTATCTAAGTGACAGGTTCCACAACTGAACTTTGTGCAGTAGGCAAAATTGTATTAAACTCCTCCTGTGTTGAATTCAACAGGGATACGCAACATGCAGTTTGCTTGCATGCACCCATCGAGGCAGAAAAAACAAGGCTCCAAAACATAAACAAGCTCAGGGGAAGCATTCCAGCACAATTTTTGACCACAATCTTACCGATGGTATGTGTATAACTCTTCGGAAACCCCTACACCAGGATGGAAAGGCTACACTCTGACTTTTTTGGGCATCTGCAAGCTGAACGCAATGGCATTACAGGAATTTGATAGAGATTAATCAATTTCTTTGATTCCAGTTTTAGCATCTGATAGTCCATGTGCAAAATTACAGAGCTCTTCTCAAGTGTTTTTAGTGGATGTATTTTCTCTCTTAAATTTAAAATTAACAAACCTTGCCAGTCAGCTTTGAAAGATCATCTCCTCCCATTATCTGCATATCTTGCATAGACTGGTCATTCTGAAAGAAGAAAGACAAAACTTTGGAATTGGATAAAACTGTATAAAATAAAAAGTATAAACAGGTTAGTTTTGTTTGGATCTTTGACAGTCCTCGTTACCAAAAATTTCTAATGCTCATTGGTATGGGTGTGTGTCGAAACCATGTTCCTCCTTGCTCCTGTGGCTTCTATCATCTCCTGGTTGTAGTGAAGCTAACATCAAGCTAGCATCAAGCTCCAGGCTTCCCTGAACTAGAAGTTGCATCTTTCTTTTTAAAACAAAAAATGTTCCTTTGCTTGCTATTTCTTAATGTGACAGGTGTTGAGTAACGTATTTGTCCCTTTCACGACGGGAAGACAGGAGCATCTCAACACTTGACCAAACACCTGTAAGCACTTTCTTTTTTTTGGAATAGCCTTTAGAGACACAGGCAAAATGTGCTTACATCTGTCACCCACACAGAGAACTCAGCTATTTTTGAAGAAATTCACTCTGTGGATTTTCTCAGGGGCAAAAAAGTTTTGCAAAAATTATCACTTATCAGGAATAGTTTCAGTGTGCCACACAGTTTCAAGAGTTTTGGGTTTACTTTTTCAACTAACTCAAAATAAAACACTTGAGGTTAATTTAGTAAAACAAAATACTGCCAAACAGGTTGAACTAAACACATCAGAACAGTTATGCTCTGATTTTCCTACTAGTAAAGATATTTTTTCAAAAAATAAGTAACCTCTCTTTGTTTAGATAAATTTGTTTTACAGACATTTCTAGTGGAAACACATTCTGATAGGGCATTCTTAACAAGCTCTAGTTTATTATCAGCAGCATGGAAAGTTAAGATCACATTAGGAAGCCCTACTTTTAAGGGAAGACGAAAGAGGCCTCAGAGAAGGTAGAAAATTAAAAAACATACAGTCATGATCAGGCTATATGAGCTTTCAGAGAAAGCAAGAGCAAAACTAAGTATGGTTAATGTCGGGTTTTTGGCAAATGGGTGCATGTGCTAATCTAATCTTCTTACAGGTAGACAGCGTTACTCCAATTTTAATAGCTGCAGTACCGCGATGCGACACTGCAGTTTACTGGTAACATCAGGAAGCTTTCTCATAGCAAACAACTGTCAAAAATGCAATACTTGAACATTTTGCATTTATTTCATAAATCCAGTGCTCTGAAGTCAAGTGTTGTTCCACAAATAAATAATGGGACAGCAGGAGCGACAAGATAGGTGAGGATACGCTGGGCTAAGGGGTTTATAGCTCTTCTTCCTCTCCTCAGAGAGCAGCAGCAGCAGAGGTAGGACGCGCGCCTGCCATGGCTGGGTTACAGCTGCACGCCTGCGCAGGTGGAGAAGCACCTGCCCACGCTCCCAGCCCAGGTGGCAGAAGTCCGGGGACTTCAAGCCACCTTTGCAGCCACTTGATCATGAGCAGTCTGACAACCCCAGGAACTATGGGTGGTCCCCAAGGGAACAGACTGCCTAGATTAATACAGCCTTCCTCAGTAACTGTAAGTGAAGGTTAGAATTGCCCAGAGGACAATTTCTCCAGGCTTGCATACTGCAGACCCACCAGAAGGGTCCCATTTTACTCAGCCTCCGCTCCCCCAAGATCGCTCCCACCACAGCTTTCTAAGAGGTTCTTAGCAGTCACTGCCTTAAAAGACAGTTTTTAGACCTGCCTTCACTTTCTTGCACCAGATCTAGGAGCTCTAGATCCCCTTCATGCTACTCTGATGCGTTTCCTGGGAAACAAGAGCTAGAGAAAGAATGAAGGTTACATCCGCTACGCTTTCTAATGTAAGTTTCAAATTTTCTCTTATTTTTACAAAGAAAAACAAAAACCAAAGCAAGTAACTGATTTCCTCAGAAGATTATTTTAAAACTAAGTAAAAAGTGGCGATAAGGAAGACTTTTAAGTTTCAGCTTAAAAGCACAAACCGTTTGTTGCAGAGCAAGACAGGTCACTCTTCAAAAGTCAGGGATGTCAGGTCAACACTATTACAAGACTATAAAAAGCAGATAGTTTCTAATATCTACCACAGCATGTGTAACCAAGGCACTGACAAAGTATTTTCTCATTTCCAAATGAGAAAGTCTGGAATTTCATTAAGAACCAACACACAAGAATTTCTGAAGAGGCAGTTTGCCCTTAGTTGGTAACTGAAAAAGCAAAGGGGAAAAAAGAAAGAGAACAGTGAGGTACAATGATTAATGAATTTATTTATTTTTAACTAAAAAAAAGTCACTTTCAGCAGCCTTCACAGCAGTAGTGTTTCCTTTGCATTTGGTATTTCTGGCTCCAGCTGAAAGAGAGATGCTGAAATAGCATCTCCATTACTGGCAAGCAGTTAAGCAAACACAAAAGCCATTGAGAGCCCGGGAATCACAGCATCCTGTCAATCTGCATGTTCACACATTGGCTGTTGTGACACAACTGCTCACCATTATGAAACTCCTCGCGTTTTGACTGGAGAACGATTGCTGTCAGAGGACAGGGCTGAGTATTTACTGTGCCTAAAAACCATAGAGAAAAATGCAGCTCAGAACCCTCCAGCCAAGGTGCTTTCAAGGAAATTAATCACTTGCATCACAGAGTAGAGGGGGAAAAAAAATCAGATCATTGATTTTAATGCCATTTATTACTATCTCTACATTCATCAATTAACTCATACATACCTGCCAAACAGCAAGACTCAGTACTGTGGTGTCACATTACTGTAATCACCACGTTCATATAGATAAAGTGCACGCTATGGTTGCCATGGGAACCTCTCAGTGCTTTTCTTGAGTTCTCAGTTTGTAATCTCAAAATAAAACTGCACGAAATGTCAAGTATAAAATACAATGAATGTCAGGAAAGAAAAACTACGTGTTTCATTCAGTACCAATTACTGTCAATTCAGAACTGTTTAATTGTCACGGTCTCAAGTCATTCAGAGCTTCGTGTTTCCTTTGGGAGTTGTTCCATACCTTGACAAAACTGATATGGTTGAGTCTCTAGGACTTCTTATAAATGCAGAAATACGAATTAAAGGTTCACTTTCCATCACCCAAAGTTCCTCAGTACTTGTTTTCTAACATCCCTAAACCCCATCAACACAATTTTTGCTGTTAAAAGCCTGACACTAAATATAATGTCCCAGATAAAGACATATTCACATTATGTTTTGGTTAATGCAGCACAGCATTTATTGCAGCTGTTTCTAACAAGACATGATGCATTGTGTTGCATCCCTACATCTCATCCCCAGCTATATTTAATACTGCATTTCTGATTTTTTTTCTATTGTAATAAATCTTCTTTTTCCAGGATAAATCTCAATTCCTTTGTTTTTACTTGCTGTGTTGTGCTTTTTCACCTGTTCATCTTTGGCTTGTTATTCAGTTTCACTCAGATCGTGTCAATAGACATCTTCTGCTCCTATGAGCACTTGATGAATGAAAGCAAGAACACTGCTATTTCCACCTCCATTTTTCATGGCGTGCAAGATGAAACTTTGACTTTCCACACTGATTGGAAGTATAGATATTTAAATTCCATCTATACTAAGTCATGTCTTTCAAACGAGGTGGGGCACAGAATTATTACATCTCTTGTTCATCTCATGAGATCAACACTTGGACATAGTTCAAGTTACAAGTGAAATGAGTTGGGTGGTCTCAGGAAAATGAATTACAAACAGCAATGCTCATCTGAAAATTGCACCAAACTGTGAACATCTGTTACTCTTCTAGAGAAACAGAATCTGGAGTACATTAATACTGGGCTCAGTGAAACAAAGATCCTTCAATCATGGCAAAAAAGTAGTTCTAATGTAACAGTTTAAATGCATAACTAAATGATGAAATATGGACACCAGGTCATTTCACACATCTAGTTACTATAGTCTGCAACTCATATGGAATTTCCTCAAAAAAATGTGATTAACATTTTCTCCCAAAATTCATTGAGGAAACTCTTAAAGAAGGATGTGACCATCAGGCCCGTTCTACTTTGCTTCCTGCCACTTGGGAGATCCAGCAGATCTGCCAACCTGAGAATTCACATGACAGCTCCCTCACTTCGCATCATCATCCCATCTCCTACAGCTGGGTCTTCCTGGAAGGTTTTGACCAAAAAGAAGTGATTGACAAACCATCACCTTCAGTTGTCCCTTGAAACTTCAAGCCGTTGAATACAGAGCATCTCTAAGGCTTCCCTTACCCGTCCCTAACGGCTAAGTGAAATGATTAGGACAGAATCACTGCCTGTCATGTTTCTGACTTAAACCCACAACCGGCAGAGTTTGAAAAGCAAGAGTCCAGCACCGCTCCCCCAACAGGTTTGGTGCAACATGTTCATGGATGCAGAGTAGAGTTCAGTCTCCACGTTCACTATGGCCTCACCTTTTTTTTTCCCATTAAGACTGTCATTAAGTGCATGTGATCTATGCTGCTTCTGTTCTTATAAGGTGACCCATGACCTTGAAATGACCTCATTAAAGATGGGATTACTCTGTTTCTAATTTAGGTATCCGAAAGTTAAGACATCCAAATCTATGCCTCCTGTGCTCCCTTCATAATGAATGGAGAAAACAAGATAGACCACGTAAATTATCTATTTCACCACATGGGAAATCTACAGCAAATAACTTACACCTAGACATCTGAAACTGAGAAATTTGAGGTTGGGTGAGATGAACCCCAGCTTAAGAGATGAGATCAATATTTTCTTCCTAAAAACCTCACTGAGCACTCAGAAAGAAATTATTTTCAATGGCATTTACCACAAGCACATAAGAAGCAATGATCTTGACTATTTTCCAGCAGTAACATCCTGAACTATCCACTTGGGCTCTGTCTCACACAAACTTAAAATACCATTCTCCTTGGCACCCCCCTAGGATAATTTGCTTGCACATAATTCAGATTTAATTTGGATTAAAACCAAATTTTAATCCACGTGAAATATATTTGAGGATAGATTTCCAAAGATATAACCAATTTAGTATTTCTTCCATTTATGTCACAAAAAACCA